ATATCTACAATTTATCAGAACAAAAAAAAAATCTGTAAGAAAATCTAAGAGTTCATTTTAACCTTTGCACAGAATAATTTGTTTTCATAGTCCATTAACAAACATCTGCAATCTTCACTGACTATTAGTGCTGTTTTCTGTTTGTATTATGGAAACTACATGTTGTTTTGTTGTTTTTTTTGGGTTAATTTATTTCCTTAAAGCAGGAGACCTCTTTTGACCTTCAGAGCAGAGATGTCAGACCAATTCTTTGTATTACACTTGGTTGCCTCCTACCTATATAATAACTTCTGAGTGTAAATAATTGAACTCTATCCTCTAATGAAGTATTGTAGAGAATAAACCATAATGGATAAAGATTATTTGTACTGTCCTTTTTATATGGTTTCTCACAGCCTTTATGGGGGATAAGATTAAATCTTGTAATCTAGAAAGATGAACAGTATGCTACCTGTATCAATACCAAACCTCTAAATTACATTAAACGTTCAGAATCAGGGAGGTTGCCAGGATGGGATGGCAGCTGTCTGCAAGCACAGAAATAGTCAGTGCAGGCTCACTAGAAGAAAGCAAGGAAAAATGGTAGGAAAACCAAGTATTAAATATGTTTCATTAATAATGGCATAGCAAAGTATCTCTGTATCCTGAAATAATGTTTGCTTGACAGTAACTCTATTAGTTGTCATGTTGGCGAAATACATAAAGCCACATACATAGAGAAATCTGTATTGTACTGAATATCCCAAATTTGTAAATCTGGCTTAAACTACCAAAACTGTTCTCTGTTTTTTTGTCTTTTAAAATGAACTAATGAAAACAGATTATCTGTACTTCACAGACTGTAGTCTTCAGGTGATCTAAGAATTTTATTTCAGGAAAAAGAAACACCCATCTTTCTACATTCTTACTAAATATTTTAATGTTTGCTTTGGGACAGGATCAATTGATTTGTGCAATAGTTTTGATGGACATACCTTTGGCTGAAATGGGTTTTTTCCATATACTTTCAGGTTATTGCTCATTTTTTACCTATAGCAGATGTACAGTTAAAGATCCTACATTTCCTGTTTGTGGTTCTTGGGAAGGGCAGCCCTGGTTATCAATGAAGAACAGGCGTAAGACCCCCTCAAACACCCCAACCGAACCAAGGGAGAAGGTGGTTTTGACTTAAATATGCCTGAGAAGTTCACTGACTTCAGTGCAACTATGAAGCAAAAACCTATTTTCAGAAAATATGTTTCTGGTACTAATAAAGCTAGAAAGTAACTCCCCTGTGCGACACGAGGAGTGGGCTGAGGAAGACTCTGTGGCTAACGTGATTTCTGGGTGACTCACTGTAAATTCTGAAGTTAACTGTGTAACTAGCATCCACTGTTGTCATGTGCCCAGGTAAGTTATTAAGTATATTCTCTCAGCTTCTTTGTTGGCTAGAATACAGTGACTTGTATATTTTTACGGCATATGTTTTTCCTTACATCATTTTTATTTTTTTGGTTTTACATTCAATTAGTTGGATGTAAAATCTTTGTCTGGTGTATTTCATCAGAGGTTCTTTCATGCATGTTGCTTTCTGTAACTGCAGTAACACTCAGCAGCTCACAATGAAGATGAGGCCAGGTAGAAGGGTGTACATATGACTGCACACTGAAATACTTGAATCCAGAACAAATATAAACCAGGGTAATTCTCCAGAAAACAGTTCCTTCTGGTTTTACTTCTGTTTGAAATAAGAAGCAAAATTAATTAGTCATTTAGCACTCACTTCTTTCTAAAAACAAATTACAGAAAGGTTAGGAGAAATTTCTACAAGGTGCTTCAAATGAAGAATACTTGAGCATTTTTATTCTAAACACCTAAAAAAAATTATTTTTGTCCTAAATTTATCTTGTAAGCTATCTGATTGTGATTGAGAAATGCCATTTCTTGAAGATAAAAATTAAACCCACAACACTTTCCCATGGAACTCAATAAATTAGTATTTATACTGACCTATGTATTACGAGGATTGCTCTTGAACTGATTTGTAGTACATGGAGCAGTAGGATAGAAAAGTTCCTAATCTGTTTTGGCTACAATCTGGGAAAAGAGGACCTGTGAATATGTTTGTTTATCACTCCCAAAGTAGAGAAAGCCCAGAAGACTATTGTTACCATGTTCCTTAAAACAAGTATGTAATTCTACAAATTGACCAGTATCCAGATTATTGAACCACAATTTTTTATAGTCGACAAGACTACTCTTATCAGATGAATTCTGACATAAATAATGTATACGACCAGTTGATAGTGTGTTTAAATGTCATTATATATGTATTTGAAAACTTAACAGATCATGGAAGAGCTAGTTTTGCATTCAGAGCCTTATTGTCACTTAATTACTGGGTATTAATATAACTTTATCTTGCTCACACATGTTCCTTTGTTACAGTTTTGGATACATAATATTAAATGGAGTAAAAATACACAAAGGGAAAATGGTATGAAAACCTAAACCTGAAGAATTATACCTGAAGAGCACAGATGAAAAGCATGCGTGTCTTGTGCAATAATGGCTATTGTGGTGCATGGTGCTCTGAGCAGGTGATGTTATCTCCACACAGAGCGACTCCTCTCACACACTAGAAATGTTGATGACAGTGAAAAGAGATTAAGGTTTCAATATCCTAATCTTACCACTTTTAATCCATCAAAAACTTTGCATTTTTTTTAAGTTGGCGGTTTTGACACTCCACACAAGGTACATGATTACTGCTAGAAAGCTTCAAAACTGCTAGGAAGATAAAATTCCTTCTGCTGGCGAATTAGAAAGAAAGCATGTTATGAAATATGGCTACACTAATAATAGAACATCCTTGTTATTCCTTCTTCCTACATTTCATTACACAGAGGTATTTAGCTAAGCTTTTATTAAGATCTGTGTTGGTGCAGTTAGCTGTTACTGGGTCTGTTTTTAAGCAGTGGCAATGTATGAAATTACCACAGTAGGTCTGTCTAACATTCCACTACCAAACAACATGTCTTCAGCAAGGGTCAATACTTTTTGCCCTGGAATATGGAATGCTAGAGGCTCTGCTCACAATAAATTGCATTAGGCCAGGTCTTTTTTTTTTTTTTTTTTTTTAATCAGTTCACTTTAGGATACAACCAGTAAACATGCCTGAAACTTCCTATAGTCATTTGCTTTATTTTAATCTAGCTCATCTTCCTTTTTAATGTACATTTTGCAATCTAACAGCTAAACGCTGAAACAGTCATTATTAATGAGGAAAAAGCCAGTGCATTTTAAAAATAGCAAAGAAAAAGGTACTCTTATGTTTGGTTTGTTGCAGTAGCTGAACAATATTTACTGTGGGCTTTTTTAAGTGCACTTTTAAAATTCTTAAAAAAAGCAGGGGGGGAAGGGTGAGGAAGCAGGTTCCATTTAGTAATGTTCTTATTTGACTCTTGAGGCCTTAACTAAACACATCGGTGATAATGAACCTTTATTTTTCATGATAGCCTCTTTAGCTGTACCTATAAACTCTTGTAAGTATCTGGCTTTCTTGTAAATGTTTTTGGTTTTGTATACTTAAGTGGAGCAGATCCTTGGGGAAAAACAAAAGTGAAATTAATAACTTAAACCTCTGCAAGCTACCTACTGCTCTGAGAGTCACGATGTTCTGACTACATGGGTTATTTGAGAAGCCATCAGGATTCCAAGTGATTTTAAATGGTTCTCTCGTCAGTCTGGCACAGATTTCCTTGTTTTCTTGTAAACCTAATTGAAATTGTTTAATTTGCCAGATGTTCCCTGAGATATTTTAATTCCATCTTCCTGAATATACTTCTGCTTGTACTACTCGGCAAATTAGTTTTTAATCAGTTTCTGTGCCATGCTCATTTATCCAGATAACAAATGTTAAAAAACTATGGTTTGACCCCTTCATATTCTTATATTAATGCGTTCCTTTTCCCAGTGTGCAGGAAACAGTTCACCTAGGCACAGATGCAAGTTCATGAGGAGTGGTTTCATCATAAATCCTCCAACAGTTTATTTTTGTCTTTCTTTAAGGGCAGAGGATGACATAGTAAGGTTTGATAAGATGATTACTTTAAGAGTATTAGGTTGGTTAGGCACTTACATGTGAGCTCTCCAGCGGAAAACACTACTTCATAAGTTATTTTGCTGACAGTGTTCCCATGACAGTGTTGGAAGAGCTATCATCATTTTCAGCCTGCCTATGACTTTCAGGGGTCTGTAGATTACTTCTGGACAGTCTGAAAAAGTAACCTTCCTTTCAAAGCGTGTTATTTATGGTATCAATTCTCCTTCCTCGCCGAATGAGGTACAGCAGACATTCTGTGTGAGCTAGACAGAAATTCTGGTACGGTCACAGTTTTCCTGCGGTCGAGGTTTGCTGCCTAGCTGGAGGATGCTCTGGTAGCAAAATGGAGCAGGCGGTAGCTGCCTGATCCACTTCTGGCGTGGAGCCGGCCCGGTGAAGGTGCATCTGCTGCCTCCAAGTCCCCCCAGGCGCTTCTGGGCACACGGGTGCTGCTGTGCAGGGTGGGGGGGGGGACCAGCGCAGTTCCGAGCTCTTCCGAGTTTCTTCCTCCAGCACCGAGCAGGAGGAGCCTTCCTCCGGGTTTGCTCGTGCCCCAGACGAGCGCGGTTTCCCCCAGACCCCGCCGTGCTTTATGCCTTTTAAGATTCTGGGCCCACCATGTCTTGGCCTGTCACAGCCTCTCCTCACAGAAACACACCTCGGCCACCCCACCGCCCTCGGTCTCCAGGAGCTCATTCCCTAAGCGAGCTTCAACACGCCTCTGAGGGCTGTGGTTTGGGGGGGGTGGGGGGGTGGGCTGAGGCGCGCTGTTCCCGCTGTTCCCCCCCCGCCCCGGGGTGCCCCACAGCGGGTAACGCCGCTTTTTCACACCCTCCACCGCGCCAGCCGTGTGCTTCGTCCCCTCCTTCCTCCTTCCCTCCCGCCTTCCCGCCCCGCCTCCTGTCAGCGCAGCGGCCCTTCCGGCGCCGGCTGAGGCGATGGCGGCGGGCGGCAGCGACCCGCGGGCGGCGGATGTGGAGGAGGACGCCTCGCAGCTCGTTTTTCCCAAAGGTGCGGAGGGCCCGGGGGCGGTGCGGGGGGCCCGGGGGCGGTGCGGGGGGCCCGGGGGCGGTGCGGGGGCCCGGGGCGGTGCGGGGGGCCCGGGGGCGGTGCGGGGGCCCGGGGCGGTGCGGGGGCCCGGGGGCGGTGCGGGGGCCCGGGGCGGGCGGCTCTGAGGGAACGGGCTGCCCCTTCCCGCCCCGCCGAGCGCAGCCTCGGGCCGCAGCGCAGCTCCGCGGCGCCCCACGCCGCCTAAACCGGGAGCAATACATCGCTTCTGTGTCTGTGGGGACCCCGGGACCGCTAAGATATGGCGGTCCTTACCGATGTGGACCGCTACGTGTGTGAACGGGAATTTTTAAAAAAAAAAAACCAACCCTCATGTCAGGTGATAGCAAAAAGATTTTTGTTTTTGATAATAAATTTTTCACTGATAACAAAATAATAATAATTTAACAGTTGTTTATTACAATTAAACAATATTCATCGATGCTTCTTGGCATTAGAATAGTGTTGCCTTTTAGAAAACCGGCTGCCTGGAGACCGAGTAGTAACTAGGACGCTAACAGTCTGTGTATATTTTTCAGAAAACTATTCAGTATCAATTCCAGAGCTGTATTTATGCCTCAGAGCAGCTCTGTAAGAGGATGGGGGCTGGGGAGAAGGCATCATGCTGCATTTTTGACTTATGAACAAAACCATAGTCCTGAAAGATTTTTTTTTTGATATTCTTACACTAAAATTGACCCATGTTCAGCCCAAGTTATTTTACTGCTCCATGCAAAATAGAGGTCGGCAGTCCCTTTCTAGCATTGCCCTGTGTCAGCCTGCTTTTATAAAACAGTGCCGGAGGGCACCCCAGGATGCAGCTTCTGATCCTGCTGCTTTGAACAGCCCGTACGGCTGATGTTGAAAGACCTTCTTGTTATTGGAATAAATATAGCGATGATGATGATGAACAAAACCAGAGTTGGCTAAAAAGGGGGGTGGGGGGGGGAATCTGTTAAGATCGGTTAAAACCTTTTTTTGATAATAAAATTTCAGTAGGCCAATTAACCTTTTAGGTAAATGGAGCCTTTTTTAAAACATTCAGCACCATCTGCATTTACTTTAAGAACTCAGAGGCTTCCAAAGCCCATAGACATCAATTCTGAATTTTTTGAGTATTACAGTTCTAAATATTATTTTCCAAAGCAAGTTGTACATTACTTAAATTCTGCCAAAAATGGGTGAAGAAGATGTATTGCAAAAATGTGACAAATCAGAAGGTTAGGGCTGCCAAAGTAAAATGTGTGGTCAAAAAGACAAACAAATAGGATTGTCACTCAGAGCGGTGTCATTTTTATAAGCATTTTCAGTATGACACGCTGCCCAATCGTTGGTGAAAGGGGTTGCACAATTGCCATGAAACACGTTGCTTATTTCCTTATTGCCCAAGGTTAAATTTACACACAGATCTTCTGTAAGTGCACATTTTCATCCGTGCTTCACATTTTTTTATGCCGGTGTTCACTCATTCATATGTAGAATTTGAAACTGCGGAAACTCTTCTAAATTCAGAAGTACATATGCTTCTCGAGCATCGTAAGCAACAAAATGAGAGTGCAGAAGATGAGCAGGAGCTTTCAGAAGTTTTCATGAAAACCTTGAACTACACAGCGCGCTTCAGCCGCTTCAAAAACCGTGAAACCATTGCCAGTGTCCGTAGGTGAGTGGAAAAGTTAGGGTATAAGGCTTTGCTGGCAAATTTGGTATATAATATACTGCTTTATGAAAGTACAGTTTAGTGGTGTCTCCTGATTCATACTATAATCCTGAATCTTGTCTTTCTGAAGAGCCATGAAATTTGATCATAATTCTTCATGGAGGGTTGTACTTTGTCTAGGTCAAGCCTTCTTAACTGCTTTGTTTTCAGTATTTCAATGATGGCTGGTTGCATTAAATGGGAGGATTTTCTAGACTTTATAGAGTAATTTGGGGGAAGTGGAGTTAACAGATGTGACTTTTTCTTCCTCCACGCAATTATATAATGAGTTGTTCCTCCTGGAAAAACATCGCCTTCAGTGCCAAAAGCAGAGTGAAGAAGATGTCTATTTGGTTTAGTTAATGTCCTTTCATATTTTCATCTTACTTCCAATTTCACCAAGTTGTGATCTTTCCTTACAGTTTGCTGCTCCAGAAAAAGCTACATAAATTTGAATTGGCATGTTTGGCTAACTTATGTCCTGAGACAGCCGAGGAAGCAAAAGCCTTGATTCCTAGGTGAGCATTTACATATCATAAAAAGCCTACTTTATACCTTCCTGTGATCTAAAGCCAGCCATGGGCAGATGCCCTCTCTTCAATCCAGCTCTGCTGACAGAAACAATTCTGGTCTTGGTCTTTCTTCACCTACCCATTGATCTGACAGTGAGGCACTATTTGTAAGTGTCCCTAATGCACTTCCAACAACAGTTACTGGATTAAGCGTAAACAGCTTAAATTGGGGTTCTTAGCCCATCTAGCTGTGTGTGTTGGGGGTTTTGTGTTGTTTTGGGGCAAATGACAGCGTTCCTATGAACTGTTTTGTGGATAATGTACAGGGGAGCATTAACTTCTTCATGTCTTGATTTGTTACCTCAGTCTGAGATAGGAGAGGGAACGAAACACTCATCTGAATTACAGCCTCTCCCTTACATGCTAAGATTTCATAGCAGGGCTGGACTGGATTATGAGCATGAGGCTACATGGACTTCATGTAGAGGTCCGTTTAAACCTGGACCTGTCTTGCCTTTTTGATAAAACATTTTGAAATTATTCAGCAAAAACTTCTGGGAAGGATGGAGTTTTAGTCACTTAAAGAGGAGTCACTGCACAGGGCTTTGAGTGGGACTTGTACAGTAATCTTACAGACGGTTCCTGGCGGTACCGTACAGGTGGGTGATGATGGTATGGAGACTGACGGGGGAGAACTACGGCTGACTGAAGTGAATCCAGCAGGGAAATTATTTCTAAAACCTTCCATGTACCCTCCTTGTTCTTATCTTGCAGCCTGGAGGGCCGATTTGAAGATGAGGAATTACAGCAGATTCTTGACGACATTCAGACTAAACGCAGCTTCCAGTACTAAAGTTAATCCTCAACCCCTTTATCTGAACAGAAAAACCTGGGAACTTTGTTTCTCAGCGCTCTGGACCAACCCAGCTCCAGGCTGAGTAAGGGCAGTTGTGGGCAGAGGGTGCTCCAGTGCTGTGTCATCCAGAGGTGCATTCAGTCTGGGGATCAGTGTAGTCCCCTGGGTTTGTTCCACATCTGTGTTTGCAAGGATGCCTGTATTGTGAGAGCCAAAGAACCTGAAAAGCCTTTTCCAGTGGCTCAAGGATTTGTTTCTTCCAAATCCCTCTCCCCGTTTTGGAAATTTTCAACATGTTTCTGTTTTTTTAGCAGAAATGTGGATGTGATTTCTTTTTTTTTTTTTTTTTTGTGAGCTTCTAAAAGAGAGGGAGAAACTTGTTCTTGACTCTCAGAAGATTTAGTCATGGGTGACATCAATTTCTGTGGTGATATTTTTGTTAGTTGTGGGGTTTTCTTTTAATTTTTTTATTATTTGATCAGGACAGTGGATTTTTACAGCTTCAGTAATTTTCTATTGTTGTTTAGTGTAAATTAAAAGATATTTCTAATTAAGGCTGTGTGTTTTATAAACATTAGGTGCATATTATGATTTTTATTAATAAGGATGTTTTTGACAAGTAGATCCTGTGATGATTAACCTGTGTTGGAGGTTTCCAGGTGTGTAATAACACAAGTACAATTTAGGACAGGTCGGACAGGCGTTACTATGATTACAGTGAGAGAACATTTGGGCAGCATCTCCCTCTCTTCTCCTCTGTTCTCTGCCAAGTGATCGCAGAGACCCAACCTATATACTGTTTCAGAAAGTGAAAAGGTGAGGAAGAAACAATCGTTTTGATGTTAACAAAGTCAGCTATCCATCCTGGCGGAGACAGAGTCCTTAAGTAGCTTGCTAACTGCCACAATCAAACAGTAAATGAGGTGATGCTAGGGAGGGATGGCTCTTGGAGCCTGGGGGAGCAGCACAGCCAGTATTACCTTAGCAGGGGAGTTGGCAACAATCATGGACTGTTAGCTTTTAGTTGAAAGCAGTGTTCTTTTAGTTAGATTAAACTTCTTAGCCAATTCTCTCAAAACATAGTAATTTTACCACCACACCTGAAAGAAGGACAATTTTGCAGGAAAGAGCAGCTGGGACAAAGAGAGAAGATAGGTGTGGTAAGGCACTACTTGTGATGATAAGCAGTAGAGTTTCACTGATTTTGCAAAAGGGAGAGAAATAACATGTTATTTTAGCTCTTAACTGGAAACTCAATATTGCTGCCATACCGAAAGGCCAAGCTGGTTACCTCATCTGAAGCACTTCACCTCAAACAGCATTTATTTCTGTGCCTGAGTGTCATTACGTCTCCTGCAAACCAATAAACCAGACGTGCCTTTCCAGTCAACCACAGTAACTTTCACTGGATCAGAATAATGCTAACTGCGGAACAGAGGTAAAAGCAGGGTGGCATAGCTGAATCTTTATTTTATAAAGCTCAGTGGCCCCTCAGGCCTGCCGCGCACGCGCGCGTCCCTTTCGCGCCTCACACCCGCGCGGGGAAAGGTCACGCGGGGGGGGGGGGGGGGGGGAGAGCGCCGGAGTTTTCCGTTGGCGCAGGCGCGAGCCGCCGCGCGCGCCTGCGCCCCTGGCTCGCGGTGCCCTCCCCCTCGCGGGCTGTTGGGGCCGCCCCCTCGCGCACGCCGAGCGCGTTGACGTTGGGCGCGTGCGCCGGCCCGGTCGCTGGTGGGGGGAAGGAAGATGGCGGCGGGCGGGGACCGAGGCTCGTGAGGCGGCAGCGGCGGCGGCTTCCGGGGCCGGAGGGGCGAGGAGCGGAGCGATAGGCGGCGTGGCGCGGAGCCGGGGTACGAGAGACCGACTGGGCGGTGAGTGCGGCGCGGTGTTGGGGCGCTGGCGGGGCGTGGCGCGGCGGTGAGCGGCTGGGGAAGTGCGGCGGCCGCCTCCGCCATTTTTAGGCCGCGGCCCAGGAGCGGGGCGGCCGCGGCCGGGAAGAGGCCGAGCGCCGGCGCGGCCCGCCAGCGGCTGGGGGTTGGGTGCGGCAGCGAGGGGCCCCAGCGCCCTCGGGAGCGCGGGGCCCAGGCCGCGCCCGCGGGATGAGGTAAGCGCAGGGCCCGGTTCCGCGGCGTCGCGCCCGCGGGGTGGGGTGCGCTGGAGGGCTGAGGTGGCGGTGAAGGCTGAGGCTGGCAGTAGGCAGCTGGTCCCCTTTCCTGACTGCTGCACAGGCGTGTGCTGGTGGCCTCGCCCGAGTGTCTCAATCCTGCTTTTTTTTTTTTTACTTTTTTTTTTTCTTTAAATACCGTTTTTTCTTCCGCCTTGGATTTGAGCGGGGATGGGGTTGTGACCGCTTAAAGGTACGACGTAGGAAGCCCTAGCCATTACGGGTAGATACAGCCATGTGCACCGGGCAATTGCTTATCCTGGGAGGGTGAATGGAGCTCATGATGATAAGGTGGCACATTCCGCTGACGGAGACTCACCAGTCTGGGATTATGACATGGGTGGCAAACCTAGGCGACCTGTTAAATTCGAAAAAATACTTAAGCATTTTTTTGTTGGAGAGAACTCATTAAACTTTGTTTCTTCCTGAAGATGGATTTTACTTTTTCTTGCTGACTGTTAGCATCTTTGTTATGAGTAAATAGCTGTACAGTTTCAAGTACAATATTTTGAAATATTGGTATTCATTTGAGCACATCTATTTGTTGTACAAAAGTTGTTATAGGTAAGTAGTTCTGTACTCTGATAGTTTTGTATCTCGTTATATTCTTAATTGCGATTTGAGTAGTATTTGGGAATCTGTTTTCCTATGCAGACGTTAGTCCCTCATCCTTCTCCTTGCAACAGATGTTTATTCTTTTTATGCTTTCCTAACTTAACCTGTTCTATCCTTCCCTTAAGAAAGGCACTACTACGTGCCTATTTGTCAGAGAGTTTATAGTATGCAAACAATATTGTGTCAAAATACTTTGGGGTTCCCTCCTCTGGAATTCTTTGTCAGCTAAATGGACTTCTAGTGCTCAACAATTTGCTGCAATATTCTGCCATCATCTTTATTATAGGAATATATAATCATAAAACATATTTAAAAATCTGTTTCTTGACATCTTGTTCAGTTGTGCTGTGGTATTTATAATGGGGAGATCTGAAAATGTAGTTAAAAGACTTCTCATTTAAACACTGTCAGCACAATAAGAAAAAACTGGCATGTCTTTAATTGCTTTGCTATGAGCATTTTTAGAGTTCTCTGCCCAACTGCTCTACAGTTTAGAAGGTACACTATACACAGCCTTCCTGTGTTTGACCATTTCAGAAGTGTATGGAACTGCCAGATTATACTAAGAGCATGAATTTTGAGAAATAAATATTGAAAGGTGGGGAAAAAGCAAATCTGTTTGAGCTGCAGAGAATGTTAGGTGTGTACATTTAATACTCCTAGAGCTGCTAACACTTTTAAACAGAAATGTCAGTCACCAGCCAATGTCAGCCAAACACCATGCAGCTGTTCGCTCACCCTCCCCTTCCTGAGGAGAGAATTGGAGGGGTAAAGGGAGACTTGTAAGTTGAGACAAAAACAGTTTAATAATTGAAATAAAATAAAACAATAATAGCAATCATAGAAAGTACAAACAGGTAATGTACAGTGCAGTTGTTCACCACCCGCTGACTGATACCCAGCCAGTTCCCAGCTTGCAATCCCAGTAAAGCCAAGATCCTGAAACTGCAATCATGGAAGCAAGAAAGAACTCTTCCCTTCCCAGCTGACTCTGCTCTATATACTGAGCGTAATGTTACATGATACGGAATATTTCATTTCATTGGCCAGTTTGGGTCCGGTGCTCTGGCCATGCTCCCTCCCAGCTGCTTGTGTACTTACAGATGAGCAGGACATGGAAGGTTGGAAAGTCTTTGATCTCTTAGGAACAACTGAAAACACCGGTGTATTATTGACATTCTTCTGATACCAAATCCCATGCTGAATCCAAAGCACAACACTATTCTAGCTGCTAAGAAGAAAAATTAACTCTATCCCAGCCAAAACCAGGACATCACTGTAAACAGTTAAAGTCTTCCCCTCTTATCTGAAATGCTGGTCCTCCCTTGAATCCTTGCAGCAGTAAACATTAGACTGTTTGGACTGTTCAAATTGAAAATTTCTCATTGGTTTTCTATTCTTGTTATCGGCAGAAGTTAACGTGGGAAGTAATAATGTAGTGGTCTTAAGTTGTGCTTGAGATAGAGGTACTAGAAATGCCTTCTTTTGCAGCAAAGAGAGGCCTTGATCTGAGGAGGGGATGAGAAATATTCTGGTTTGTACCCATCCCTAGCAGGTGTCTTAGTCTTCAGACTCATCCAAAAAAAATATCCTGGAGAAGACTTTTGGTTGAGTAGGAATATGGAAGAAATACAGTTTAACTTTTTACTGAGTTGATTCCATGCAAAATATGTCACTTTTTGCCTCTGCTAGCCACAGGCTTGTTATTTAGGGAATTTCCATAGTTGGTTTACTAATGCTGGAAATCAAAATAATTTTAACCTTGCCCAGATGTTACACTAGCTTATAATTTAGGAAACTGCTCATATCTTTGTGCAGGGAAGTTAAAAAACAAGCTGAAAACTTTATCTGTAGTGTGTTTGTGAATTTTACAAAGCTTTATTTGCTGTATTTTCATTCCTGGTACTGTATCATTTTGTTATTGAGAGTTCTATACAAAGTAAAAAGACAGATACGCAGATGTGATTGATATAGTTTATGAAGAAATACCACTGATAAGTAAACCTTGGTTAAATTGAACATTGTTACAGCTTAATGGTGGGGAGGGCATAGGGTAAAGATCTTTCAAAAGATTAAAACCTTAAAGCAATCTTAGTTTCTTTCTCTTATCATAGAGAATCTCTGAAAGTAGGAGCAGAGAAGTAGACTTTTTGATAGCTAAATAGTTCTTTGTTGTTTACATTTTGTTATTATTTGTTTCGCTTCAATTAAGAGTGTACATGATCCCATATTTTCAAAATGGTGCTAAACTTAACAGCAATCCATTCTTGATCACTAGTAGCTAAAAAAACCTACTCAGCATCTAATAGAATGTAATTTCTGGTTCAACCAGCTCTCCACATTCAGGCTAGTGTACCAGTCATTCTGTTGTGAAACTTGAAATGTGATATGAAGTACATATTTACCAGGAAAGAAAGTAAGCTAGTTTCTCTTCTGTTGTGCAATATTACTTTTGATAACATGTTTAGTGTAAAGACAGTGCGTGCACGGCTATGTGAAATACTGGTGAAAATTGTTCTTCAGTTTGTGGTAATGTCGATTAAAGTTTGTGGTGGGAAAAAGTAAGACCTGAATTTGTTACAGCATAGTAGAAGCCTGTGCTTTTGTGGAGGCTGTAATTAGAAAAGTGGCTAAGCATTCCAGCCTGTCATTGTTAGCTTATTTTAAAAGGTTTTATTTCAAGCTTCTTTCCCTTGTCTAGAGGGGACTTGATTTAAAGAAGAAAAAAAAAAATCAAAAAACAAAACAAGCAAAAAAAATAACCGAGAAATAAACATGAAAACTGTAGTACTTTTTAGTAGCTTGGGTACCAGTCAGAACGTTTGAGTTTAAATCTATTACTGACTTGGTACTTTCCCCTGAGCCATTATACTTCTTTGGGACAGTTCCTTCATATTTGCTTTGAGTGATCACAGTTACGATTTGTAAGGCATTCTTTGGATGTGGAGGGATACTAGATACTAGAGAGAAAAATAATTCCATGCTTTGAAACTAAAGTAACCAATATTGTTCCTGTTTTCCTTCTGCACCAAATGATAAAATGGAACAGGTATGAATCTGTGTAGTAAGAATGGCCGTGATAAATAGATCCCAGTTTATCCAGGAAGCTGTGTACCTGGTTTTCACTTGAGAGAAAAAAAAAACCCAGAGCTGTCCATTAAGATACCTTGTTGAACAAGAAGAATAAGTGCAACTTCCATAGTATGGGATAATCTTTAATGCTGAAAATCCATGTAAATTTATTTTAAGGATTGAAAAATGTACTGATAATAATCTAGTAATAATGAATTGTACTGAATAAGTTGCAGTGAAGTCTTACCAGGATTTGGTGGTTCTGTTCTAAGCAGTTTCTTCAGTCATTGCTTTTATCACAATTGGTCTCAGTTGTAGGAGGAAAGACTTGCTCTGCAGTATTAAACTTTACTGTTGACTAACCCTTGTTGATTAAAACTTTTGTTGTACACAAACATTTCAAACAGTTACGTGGAAGTATTCTTACACATACGTAGATGTCATGTGATACAAAGAACAACAACTTGTGAGCTCATTGCTGTTTGTAGAATGAAATGTGCTTGTTCAAAAAAAATAAATTCTGTTCGTTTTTGAAGCTTTGAAAATGTTATCAGTGAAATTGTAAATTTTATGTAACATAACATTTTTAGTTATTTAAAATAATTAAAATATTCTGCTGCCTGTCTTCTTTCTACCAGAGTTTCTGCAACGGTGCAGGCGGCTGTACAGGGGGACCCTTTCTGGGAGCAGAAGTACGATGTTTGTTTGGTTTGAACCTGGCTCAGTTTTCTGTTTTGGCCTGTCTCTTAGAAACACTGGTTCTGGAACTGGTGAGGTGGTAGGGAAAGAGGAGGTGACAGGAAACATGTCCCTGCCATGGTACTGACTTGTGCTGCGCTGACTGACTGTAACCATGTGTTGAAAGGCAATATGCACTGTTCTTAGTTAATATGGTAGCTATATCAGCTCTTCATAAAATACATCCCTAAATGTTTAAGATCATGTCTACTTAGTACCAAGTTTTAATTTAAGGCAGCTGGTAGTGAAGCTTGGAATTTAGATATACCCGTCATCACTCAC